TAATGATCTCCATGAAGAGCAATGATGGTAAAAATGCCATTATTTTCCTCATGAACCGTGAAACCAAGCTAAATTACAGAAGTATGAGAGAAGATGATGTGGTGTTAGAAGCCAAAGCCTACTGTGTGATTTTGTTTAGAGAAATGCTGGAGGCCTTGAAATGTCAAATAGATTTCGGTTGTGTAATTTCAGGATCAAATTGTGTTAATACCCATACTTTAAGTAAAATAATACCATTTGCTGGCTTGATTCCATTCATCTTCAATAAAAGTGAGTTCCTAAATGAACATGACCTTTTTAAATCAAGGTTTCAGGTAGATTTCAGAAGCTCAACAGTTGCCATTTTGGAAGGAAAAATATCAGTATTTTTGTACATCTTGACTAATGTTTTTAACACATTTATCACAGAATCATAGAATATGCTGAGTTGGAAGGAACCCATTAGGATGATTAAGTCCAGCTCTTGTCCTGCACAGGACATCTCAAGAATCACACTCAAGCACTTCAGTCACTTTTTATCCTTTAATGTGCTCATATGTCTCCTGAACTTCAGGAGATCTGTGTGTGTATCTGTGGGTTGACTTGCTGTAGTGTGTGCCTCCTGTATGGTTGCCATACGCTACAGAAAACGTGAACTCTGGATTGTGATTGTATAAATGTGTCCAATAACTTTCATAAGGCACCTTTTGGAATCTACCCACATGCTGTCCACCAAGTCCTCTCACTGTCCTGTCTCTTTTATGTTTCTTATACTCTGCCTATCTTCCAATTTCTGTACTTTTAATTTAAAAGAATGTACAGCTTTTCTCTCTAGAAAATACAGGCAGAAAGTATATGTCATTGTGAGATGTATTGCATCAAATTAAGGCTGCTAGACTTGAGTAAGCACCTCAGAGTTAATTCTGTCTTACGAACCCTCAGGGCTGGATTGCGAGCCCTGGAGAAGAAAGAGAGCACTAAATGAAGCCAACACAGATAGGCGAGTTCATGTGGTGTTATTAATGGGCAGTTCCAAATCTGCCTGCACTAAAATTTCAGTAATTGTGTATATGGAAAAGAAATTTAGAAACCTATTAGAACCAGTAGAACTATATTTACAGTTATCATTTGGACTTGCTTATAGCAGAGTTCTTTGCGTACTGAAAGCTTGTCTTTAGGCTTAGATAAGGAAGGCGAAATAACAACCAGTGCTGTAAAACTCTTTAAGGTATATAGAAATATGTGTGAAGTGATGAAAGAAGGCAGTTGGGGAAGGGATTAGTCACCCAGCTTAATTTAAAGGCATCCACACTTAAAGTATTGTTTTGAGATCTTGGCACATTTGCATGATCTATTGTTAGTTTATTCAGGCATTACAATCCTTCTGGTTCTTTGCCACCTTTTTGTTTGTTTGTTTGTTTTAAATGTTGGAAGCAGGTATATTAGCGAGAAATGCCAGCTTTATGATGCTAATAATGTCCATGAAAACCTCATTTGCAACACTGATTAAGTCAAGGTCTTTACTCATTTTAGGGAAAATACCAGTCCTGCCTAGTGTTTGGCTACTTCTTGAATATAGAATATAGGCCAAGTTGAGTTTAGAGATTAAGAGAGACTTGTAGTACAGAAATCAGATGACTGCCAGCTTCATTAACTAAATACATTTTAGCAGTGCTTCTAGAGAGCAGGCAAGCTTCCAGGTAGGCAAGAGTTTTAAACATTCTAACATGAAGTTTTATGGTATAGGATATACGTAGGTAATGTCTATAAATGTTGGATTACACTGTGCATTTCAGTAAGTACTTCTGACTGTAGCATAACGTGTGGGCATGTTTGGTTGTGCTTCCAGTTTAGGCTTTGCAGCTGCTTCTGACCATTGATGCATCTCTGTCTCTAAATGCTATTCCTCCCTTTAGATAAAGATTTTACTTATTCTGAGTCCCTCCCTTACTTTCACCAGATATTAGATCAAATCCCAAGAATCTCAGTGAATCAGCCAAAAGCTTTTCTGATCTGATTCACATCTGGACACCATTCCCATCTCAAGAGGAGGTAGTGCCTCTGGTTGCCTTTATAAGGGTATTCCAAAACAAATGCAGAGGGCAAGCTGGTTTTTTTTTCTGGGAGAGTAAAGGCAGTCCAGAAGTAAAGTGTCAGAAATAATGCTTTCATAAATGGAATTTCTGAAAGAGGAATTTAAATCTGCAAGTGAATATATGCTAGTACTATTCAACTTTTTTTTTTTTTTTTTTTTTTTAGATCACCTTTTGCTGCTGTCACAGATTACTCAGTAACAAGAAATAATGTCATACAGCTTTGTCTGGAACTAACAACAATAGTACAACAGGTATGAGACAATTTGCTTAGCAATTTATTTTTTCCTCAATTGTAAACGGCTATGACATTCTTAACACAATTTTGTTTTACTCTGTTTATATCATTGTCTAACCAGATTGAGGGAATACTAGTACTTAGTAAATGCTTTCTAAAAATTCTATTTCCTGGTTTTATAATAATAGTTTGAGTTGTGCAAAATATGTGCCTCTGCATATCTCAGTAGTAAGATTCATCTTGGGTTCTCTAATCTAATGTCTACTTCGTAATTTGTATATTTAATTTCTTATATTTTGTCTTTAATTTTTAATTAGCTGTCTGGTTCAAAAGGTCTCTGTGTATTGGACTTTAGTATTCTACTCTTTCATACAGTTCATATCATCTAGAAACTTTTTAGGATGGCACATGTTCCCACCGAGGTAGAATATTTTGAATACATTTTTGTACCTGCTACCTTTAAGAAATCCAGAAGTAGATAATGAGAAGCACTTGCTTAACGGGCTTCATTTGGGAATGGAATCCTGAGAACCTTCCCCAGCCCACCCTGGTTTAGGTCTGTCATTATTTGTGTGTTGTTCTGCTGAAATGAAAAGTCTCTTTGCTGCCAAGCAGAAATTTGAGGGATTGTTTGCACTTGAGAAGACAGAGTGAAGAAAAGGGGAGAGAGTGGGCTGGGTAGGAGGACTAAGACTTTTTCTGGTTTCAGAAGCATCAGTCCAAACTAAGAAAAACTAAACTTTTTCTATGGCCTCTTGGTGTGACTTTGTATGATGATACTCTCCCTTTCCTAAAAGAAATGCATTTTTTCTAACCCTTTCATAAATGAATGCAATACTGATGATTTGCTGTGTTTGCCTCCCCCCTGAGTTGGAAAGAAGCAGTATTACTAGTCCCACGTGCTCAAGCCTGGGAAATGCAAATTTCTCACTTTTAGATTTATTTTATTTTCACCCTCAATTCTGTGGGGGGGTTTTGATGTGGAAATGGAGGATGAGCTTTTCCGTCCCCGCTGGCCACAGTGAGGGTGCCTGTTTGCTTTCCAGGCCCAGGCGGAAGGGGTAACGCTGCCGGTCCATCCTTTGGCTGCCCTGGGCTCCTCCCATCACCCTGCCTCAAACTGGGATGGAGGTGCCAGCACTGGTGGCTGTGGGAGAAGAGCCCAGGCCTTCAACTTCTTGGCTGCCTTTGGCATGACATGTGTTTTGTATCTGTTGTCCTGTAGCCTGTTGTGCCTTGTTGAGCTGTGAGGAGGGATCAGTAGGGTGGGAGAAGCAGTCATGGAGGGCATCCCTTCCTCTTCTCCAAACTGTTTTTTTTCAGAATTAGCTGTGCATCACTGTCTAGTTTTTAATTTAGGGAAAGAGCCACCTGGTCCATTTTCATGTGTCCACAATTAGTGAGAAGGTAGGTAAAATAACAACTACTGCAGTATTTCTCAGGAAATAATTCAATATCAATTTATTTTCTTACAAATTCATCCCTATCCATGATACTACTAATTCACTGTGGTGTAGGTAAATATTTATCTATGTATATTTTACAGTGTGAGTGAGAATAATTGTTATTATTTAATACCTTTGGAGAACAGCAGTTTTACCTTCTCCAAGAACAACATCATTCCCCAATCAGGAAGCAGTTTGTGAATCTACACTTTGAAGTCAAAAGGAGCCTTTATATGCCTAAATTTAATCATGCTCTGAAATTGAATTGGGCTGTAGTCAGAAGAATGATAATGAAAAATTCCATTAGTAGTCCCAAAGACACGTGGTTTGATCTCTGCTTAAAACAATTGCATTCCAATGTAGCATTTCAGATGTCTTAGCTGAGCTTTTTTTCTATATGACCGTTGAGCATACTGAAAATCTTTATTGTGCTTTCTTAAGACTGTAAATTCAGTCTTTCAGTATCACCTCAACAGGTGTTTTTTCTATCTCAGAATCTTTTTCCTTTTGTATGCAAAGTACTTTATAGTACTTTGCTAAATTAAAATAATTTATAATCTTTTTTTGATGGAAGACCAAGAGACAAGGCAATGCTGCAGTTTTTATTTTAACAGCAGATAACAGCTTTTTATAATGCTCAAAGGTTTATAAAACTATACAGTCTACACATTTTTAATACCTCTGAATTTTTAAGACATTTGTACTATTTAAAAATAGAACTCCAGTAACTGAGTTCCATAAGGGTTTTTTTGTGTTAAGTTACAGCTAATTAATTTACATTTATTGACCAAAAGTCAAAAAAGGATTCTTTAGCCAAGATGGAGGGTAAAAAGTACTAAAATTACAGTGGCTTGCTTGATTTATTTTGCACATTTTGTAGCTAATTGTAATGTCAGTGTTTCTTCATAGAATTTAGTGATATTGAGTCGTGTCCCCCCCTATTATCAGAACTAAATGGATAATTAAAAAAAAAGTGACAGAATTACATCTCTCTTATAAGTATGAAATCTAAGAAAATGTACTGAGTGTTTGTGCTTTAACCTTTAAATAATTAGCAAAGTTCGAGTTATAATAATTTCTTAGAGACAACTCTGGAATAAAATGCAGGAAGACACATACTTTGTTTTAACCATTTAATTTTCTATGTATGTTGCACATTGCCCAGGACCTGATAGGCCAGTGTGCAGTGGATATTTGCCAATGGAAGCAAGTCCTTCAAGTAACTGCAAGTTACTGTAGCCTGCTTTGCTTTTGCACTAATCATCTGCTTCTATGCAGCTGCTTTATTTTGGCTTAGGGATTTTTTTCTCCCCCTTAGGATTTTAGGATATTATTTCATAGCCTCTTGCTGCAGGTTTTCAGTCTTGATACCATCATCCTTGCTGATGGCTTATTTAATTCAAGGCTTGCATTCTTGCTCATTTTTATAATCAGCTCTTCCCTTGCAGTAGAACACTGAAGGAAAAAAAAAGACAAACAAATTAATGAGACTATTATGATTTTTCCTACTATTTCCTTGCACTGTGCCTTTCTCTCCTACACTATCTACCTCTCTATAGGAATCAAAGGCTGAGCATTATCTGTTCTCTCTGTTTCCTCTGCAATGAATAAAAAAGGCCTTTTTTTTCTCAGTGATACAAGATAAACGTTAAAGAGCTATGGGTGAACAGGTTGGGGGGTGGGGGGTGATTGTTTTGGGATGTGATTTGTTCCCCTTTGGTTCATTCCTGAATTTAGATATGTGCCAACAGAGTTGTTTCAGCCACAAATGCACATCAGGAAGAACGTGAGATGCTCTTGCCTCGATGGTGTTCATGGAAGTCTTGCTATTGACTTAGTTAGTTGGGTTGTTTAACTTCAGGAGGTGCCAGGAACTGGTCATTTTAAGTGTCCTGGTTTTGTTTTAGAGAGGTAGCAGTAGCTATGCTCATAAAGTAGGGAACAGAAAATACCTTGCTTTCTTAGGCAATCTGTAGGTAGCTTTTATTATCATTCTCAATGCTTTTATTCCTTAGGAATTCGTTAGGGTTTCACTAAAGAAACTTTCTTCTTTAGAATTGAAACCCTGGAAATCTTGGGAATATCTGAAAAGTCTGATTTTATATTGACTTTGTAAGTTACCAGACATTTAAAGAAATCTTGCTGCTGAACACCCTATTTCTTTTATAGCTCTTTAATAGTAATCATTAGTAGCCCTCATCACATGTTTTTTTACTTTCCTTAATCAGCTTTCACAATGATTTGCTGTGTTTATTTAGTTTTAAACCACTAATGTTTATCTTGCAGCTTTAATGTCTTGTGGGATTTACTTAGCGATATGCCCCAGCAGAAGCATGGCTATAGGCATGTAAATACTCCTCTATAGAAGCTTCACTGCATTTAATTCTCCACCTAAACACCACTTTAAAGAGGGATTGTGTGATGGAAGCAGTTCACTGTAGCAGGGGTGGAGATGGAGAGTAGTCACTTGGCTGGCATGGGTCTGTCTTGCATTGTTGTCACAGAGCACACTTCTGACATCAGCTGTCTCACAGCAACATTTGGAGATAAACTCGGATTTTGAATGATGTGAGGTGAGAACTTTAGCGATGCAGTTTGGGAGGTGGTGTCCAGGAGGGAAAACAGCAAAGACCAAGACAACCATCCACAAATACGCTGTCTGGACATTATAACCACCTGGGATTTGGGAGCTAAAAGCTCTGATATGAGTGCATAGAGAAGTGCCCTGTGTGCTGCATCAGCTGAGGGATTTGGAGCTTACTCCCCATTTAAAAGTATTTGACATACAAAAAAAAAAAGGGGTTGCCCCTACTCCTTACCCCAGTGGACGCATTTCCCATACCAGGGTAGTATTCTTTTTGGGCTTTTAGCCATTGTTATTTTTCAGATAAAAACTATTGTAAAGGATCATGAGTTATTTCTTAAGTAATACACTGTTTTTGCATATCGCTGCAGTTTTTGTAATCAAATGTCTGTAACTTTAACTGAGGAATTTTTCAAATATTAAATCTCACTGAGAAACATTAAGTTCAGGCTTGCTTTCCAGTTAAAAGGATAAAATGGAAATTTACTTTCTCAGCTCCCCTGCTCTGACTCAGAATCCAAATGCAGTAATATAAAATGGTTCTATTCATTTGGTAAGGACAATATCAAATATGTGAATGAAGAAGAATAATATCCTTAGCACTATTTTTACAAAGTATCTCTCATATAATCTTTTCAATCACAATTCCTCACTTTTGTTTTAAGTCCTAGTTATTAAGGACTTTAAAGCCTTGCTTAATATAGCTTAAAGTTTTTTAATTTCAGGTCATACCAAGTAGCTAATTACCTCAGGTATCTTTAGCTTATAAACTGGTTTGAATAGTTTAGTGGTGTAAATCTTTTATTGGTTCTTCATTAAAGCTGCTTTGCGCTTCCAGCTTGTTTATATTTTCAAAGCAACATGTGTTTGCTGGAAACAGCTACGTATTAAATTTTCAAGTTTTTTATTTGAATTTTCAACATTATTCCTTCTGTTACCAAAATGCTCACAGGAAAATCTTTGTTAGCCTACTATGGTAATAATCTTCTCCCTCTCCCCTTTTTTTAAATAAAAGTAGTTCATGATAAGGAGGCCACATTCTTGAAGTTTAAAGTATATGTGTGCATAGTACATTGTTTATACAAAATGCCTCCATTTTAGATAAGTGTGCAAGTAGGGGGTAAGTGTACAAGTGGGTAGCTAAATAGATGTGGGGGAAAGTTAGAACCAAAAGCTCCCCTTGAAAACAATACCCAGGCAATATATGCCTGTATAGATGACATCAAAAGGGTGTTCATGTGAGAGTGTTATATAAACTCATTGTAAGTAATGCTGACAGAAATTCAGACTCACCTTGTATCCTTCGTGTGCTGCTCTTATGCAAGATTTTCTGTTGCGTGAGGTTCAAAGCAGTCCTCAGAAGTTGTGGTGTTACAGGATACATGTTGTTCTGTGCAGTTGTTTTCTTGCAGTTGACTTTTAAAAGTCAATGTATAATGTATAAGCTAAAATAGGAATTAAAGGATTGTTGGAAATATGAAGCTGTTTCTGTTTACAAGAAGCTAAATCAAAGTCGTTTCAATTTATGCTGTTTAGTAATGTTTTTCTCTTTTTCATAGCAGAGTAGCTTATTTATCTATAACACAGTTTTACAGAAAATTTCAGATGTAATTTAATGTAATGTAAAAAAGTGCCTAAGGTACTTACATTGATGCCTTTTTATGATTCTGGTAGTTTCTTTCTGCTATTTTATCATACTTTTTTTTCCCCTTGAAATGGCTAACTTATATATATATAGTCCTTTGATTTAAGTTTTAAAGTGCTTTTTGAAACGGAGTTAAGCATGGAATACCTCAAAGATTAAAATGCCAGTAATAATCTATTGGAATGAACCACTACTAAAACCAATTTGATGACTCATTAGTTGTCATTGATATATATGTTGTGAGAGCTGTAGCATTATTTTTCCAAACTTGTGAAGCTACCACTCTGTAAAGCTCTGTGAATTTGTTAGCTGTGTTTTCTCTTCCATTCTTAGAGAAAGTGGTTTCTTTGCCTAGTTGATGGAAAGAAAAAACCAAAATCAAAAAACCACTGAAATATTCAAAAGAATACTGAGTATGTAAGAAGCTTAGTGACCAGAAAGCAAAAATGGGTTGGTGTTGCCTTGTTTGGAGTTCTTTTTCTTTGGTTGTTTTTCTTCCAGATTAATGATTGACAGCCTCTGAATATGGGGAAAAAATGAAACACAAAGCAGAATAATTTGTGAAAAAAGGAGTAGTCTTTTTGATGGGGCATATGCTGGTAAACCGAAGCAGCTGTTAAATTTTTCCAAAAAAAGGAGCCTGACTGGGTCAAGGTGACAGTGAAAGAGTCAGGAACTGTCGAGTTAACTCATGCACTCATGGAAACACTTGCAGAAAGTAGCAGAAAGTTGGTGGAAACTGAGATGAAGTGTAGACAGAGGGGGAAAATGTGTTTTCATATCTCATATGTTTCCTTTAAATGAAAGCTTTTTTTCTTAGACTGATTGTTGTGGGCACTGTGTCAGTGCACGCTGAGTGGCATCACAGTTTCCATTTGAATAGAGGCAAAGAGGGGATATGCCATGCTTACTGTGTAATTCTTTATAAATGGAAAATTGAATTATTAATGATGATCTATCATGTTGGTCATATCAGTAGATTTGAAGACTAAGACTCTGCATTTCTTTTACTTTGGAAACTGATTTCCCTTCCCAGAGGCAGTATGATCTCTGTAACCAGGTGCAGTGAAGCAAGATTCCACTTCAGTGTAGTGAAGTACAGAAACCATCTGTTGCTAAGTGGCTGTAAAAGCCTTAAGCATGAAAAAGTGTAGTCTCTATCTTTATTTCGGGAATATGTGTGTGTTTATTTGCTTAAGTCCATTAAAAATACATAAACAATTTCAGATGGTCCATTATGAAACATTCAAGTTATGGTTGAGTCTGAAATGCCATTTACCTAAATATCATTACTTTTTTCCAGTTCAATTAATTTTATTTCCTCTGTTGGCAAAATAGCTACCTAGGCAAAATATGAAACATGAAATATTTTGCTGTAGTTGTGCTTTATAAACCAGAATTCTTTCTCATGACAGTACTAGAGGAATAGCAGAATTGAAAAATTAAGAATTTATTTACCTCTAAATTGTCTTGGAAGTGTCATTGAAAACTTAAGAACTGCACAATACATCATGCTACAAGCTCTATTTTGCGTGTCAGTAATGAAAGATAAGAGTTTTAAATGCATGATGGTTAATTAGAGGTGTGAATAAAACGGTTTTTCAATTGTTTATTTCTCCTTTGAACGGACCATTTTTGCCTCAATTCCAGTCTCTCATCTGTTGATAGCTTCAGTGGATTTTATTTGTACCTGCTGAGAATGTCACCAAGTAGAGAAATCACCTGAACAACTGAAATTCAATTTAGACCATGTAAGCACTTAGATTCTGGCAGGATATATGAGCAAGTATCAGTGTGATTTTAGTCAGTGTTGAAATACTGGCTGTGGTTTCTGACCTAATGGTATACTGGCTCATTTTAGAAACAAGGGAGAAGTGTAACTTTCTATATGCAAAGTAAGAATTAATATGTGACCAGATCCCTAGGGAAAGCCAGATGATGTCTTTTATAGGTGGAAGGGTAGAAATAATTGGAAATGGAAAATGACTTCAGAAAGATAGAATAAAAGAGCTTAGTGTACCCATTGCATCTCTCTTAATCCAGCGAGCAATTTTGCCCAGTAGTTGCTTGATCTGTGGGTGATTTATGTAAGTTGTATTAAATTCCTACATGAAGTATTCTGTTACTATGGTGATAGGTGCCACTCCACACAGATTGTTTAAATAAAATTAAAGCAATTCTTTGTACTCAGTAGGCAGGGTAATTGCTATTAGTTTGTACACAAAGGTTATGAACTTAGAGTACTGCAGGTTTATTACATTTATTACATTTTCAGGGAAAGGCTCTAGACTTTCAGAAACATTTGTGTAGGTTGCATAGGAAATGTCCTTTTCTGTAGCATTTATTTAGTGGCTTGAACTGTATTTTTCCAATAGAGATTTTTTCCTCTCCCCTTACTTTGTTAAAAGATGTGTGCTCACCATTCTGCTTTCTCCCACCCCTGTCCGTCCTTATGCATGTTCCTGATGGGGGAGGACAGAGTGGGTTCTGCAGGTACAGATGAGTTCTGGCTACAGTGTGGAGGGGAAGGGAATAATAATAGAGTGAGGATGCCATAGACCCAGTGGCAAGGAACTGCAGGGATTGAATAACTGTGGCATAAGTGAGAAAGAAAGCAAATATTTCTGAACGGCAATGGGAATAAAATCGACAGGATTTGTGTGGGAAGCGAAGAGGAGTTGAAAATGGCACCCAGGTTGTGAGCTTGTGGGACATAAGGTGGTAGAGCTGTTGACAGAGACTCGGAAAGAAAGGGAGAACAGGGAGTGTTTGGGAAGAAACGTGATTTCAGCTTTCCAGCACACTGTGTTAGGGCTGGTGGCAAATATCCAGAAGGAGATTCTGAACTGTGAATCTGAACAGAAGGGACGAGAGATCTGTGACTCATCTGCACAGAGATGATAATTAAAGCAGCATGATTTTAGGAGGCTGCTGAGCAGTAGGGAAGAGGTTGCAGCAAAGGGGAGAGATGAGGATAGAGCTCCCTGGGACTGTAGCAGTCGGAACAGCCATGATAGGAGACTTTTGGAGCAGCTCAGTGGAAAGAAAGTCGTGGAAAGAGCATATTTTGGGATGGTTACTTAGAAATACAGTGTAGTAACAACATCTGTGTAATTTTATGTATTAATTTTCTATGGCAGCAGCCAAGGGTTGTCTGTGCAAGCACTGGGTGTTGTGTAGCTTAGAGGAGCTTGCTATTGCATTTTAGGTAAAAGACAGGAAAAAAGTATTTCCTTTCTCCCTTCCTCTGTTCCAAATGTGTAATTGTCAGTGTCCCCAGAGCCATACCTTTTGTATCCAAAAACCTGCTAGACCTCTTAAAATCTAAGATGTGGTAAAGCACCTCAGGAAACCTCTGACTGTGTCAAGCTCTTAGTCCTTTGCATGTTGCGAGAAGAGAACGTAACCTGCTTGCCAACTTCTGTAGCTTTTGGGGTATTTAAGAGTTTTTTGTTTTTGTAAAGTGAGTTGGAGGGTAGGGGATTGAACAGAGCTGTATATCTTGCCAATTTGTGTTCTACTATTGCAGTAATTACACAGACATACTTGTAAATCACAGTCTGAGCAGAGTTCCGTGGTATCCATCGGTTTTTTGATCATCATGAATTATAGAACACAGCATTTTGTCACAGCCAACCATATCCTGGGCTGCTTCAAAAGCAGTGTGAGCAACAGGTCAGGGGAGGTGATTCACCCTTCTCATGAGACCCCACCTGCAGGGCTGCATCAAGCACTGGGGCCCCCATGTAAGAAAGATGTGGACCTGTTGGAGCAAGTCCACGAAGATGATCAGAGCACTGGAGAACCTCTCCTGTGGAGATGGGCTGAGTGAGTTGCGGCTGTTCAGCCTGGGGAAAAGAAGACATCAGGGATACCTTATGGCAGCCTTTCAGTACCTAAAGGGGACTATATAAGAGAGCTGAAGAGAGACTTTCTACAAGGGCATGGGGGATAGGACAAGGGGTAATGGCTTTAAGCTGAAAGAGAGCAGATTTAGATTAGACATAGGAAAAGATTTTCACTGTGTTGGTCATGAGACACTGCAACAGGTTGCCCAGAAGAATTGTGGATGCCCCAATCCTTCCAAATGTTCAAGGCCAGGCTGGATGAGCCTTTGAGCAACCTGGTCTGACGGGTGGCATCCCTGCTCACGGCAGTGGTATTGCGACTAGATGATCTTTAAGATCCCTTCCAACCCAAACCATTCTAGGATATTGGTCAAGTTTATTGTTTTAGAGCTGTCATTGTTTATTCCTGCCATCAGCTGTATTAGATACATTTTCTATGTATTTTCTAATTTTAGTGAAAGACCAAATGAACTCAACCTGTCTTGCCCTTGTACCTTGCCTTGGTCCAGGAAAAGCAATGAAGGGTAATAATAAAATATACTGAAAGTTATAAAACTTTTGCCTTCTTCATGTGTTGACAGAGCTTTAGACTTTGTCATCAGTGTTGTTGAGAACTTCTGTGAGAACCCTCAGTGACAATTCCAGCAAACCTCAGTCTTGTGGCTCTCTTGCTAGTGCTGAATTGGGCAGAATTCAAACCAAATGAGCCTTTCTAGAGCCAGTGGCATAAGTTCCCTAGAGCTAGTGACACTTGAACAGGCTCAGAGTAGGATCCTTGAAGCCAGAACAACTTATTTTTGTTGGTGTGGTACTGGGACTGAAGGGACTGGGAGTTATGTCTGGGCATTCTCAAGTTAATTATTTTTTATTATTGCTAAGTAGCAAGACTTACAGATCATCCATTTGACTTATACTGCTATTAAAGGATTCAGTTACAGTTTTAATCAATTTGAGAAGCAAAGGGATTTAAAGGATGGCTTGGTTTAATTCCAACCAATGGCTACATTGCTTGAGAGAGATTTTGTGCCAAAGGTTTGGCAGTGCGTGAGAGTCTGAACCCTCTTTTAGCAATCATGTAATTCATTATTTTTGTTACAAATAGAGTATTGGAGTTACAGAGTTTAGAACATTTTGCATGACTTTAAAAACAATGGTTACAGCAATTCTATCAGACATCTGGTTTTAAGCAGTTAATAAAGTCTAGCTGGTGCCCTCTTCAAACTAGGCATGGAAGATGAGGGGAGTTGCTCATGAAAGATGCATTTCCCGGGTGATTTTACTACCACTTCTAAAATGGTGTTCCTAACACAATTGCCTACATTTTTATCTGCAAAATGCTAGAAAAAAACAGTGCAATATACACAAATACATACATGTAAATTGCCTTCATCTAAGTTCAGTTGGACTACAGAGGAAAATAAATGAAAAAAACAGGCAAGTAGCTCCACCAGAAGTGGCTTGAAAGAATAATCTACCTGGAGAATGAATAATCTCATGG